CTATTGTCCCTGTTCCCTGCTGGCCCCACACCCACAAAGTCCTAGCCCATTGTCTTCCTTAGCCACAAAGAGAAGTATCTCTTTTCTCACTGGGAACACTATTTCCTCCATGTCTGGAGTCTAATTTGTATTAAAATTATTACAGTATTTGAAAGGATTCCATTAAATTTCCTAGCTGCAAGGGTCTTTAGTGTGTTGAGATTTTGTTAAAGACCAAATGAAATCTGAAGTGCTAACTCCAGTGCAAAGTAGATCAAGGCCCTTGCAGTTGCCTGTTGCCATCAACTCAGCCTCATGGCAACCCCATATGGAACTGTGTTCCCTCGGGTCTTTAGGGCGAATTTCCTAGCACATTGCCAGGCCTTTCTTCCAAGGCAGCTCTGGGTGGACCACCAACTTTTTGGTTAGTATCACCCAAGAACTACTTAAAGAGTTTTTTCTGGAACAATGGTTGTAAACTACTGATTATACTCTAAGGGCACTGGAGCACAGATGGGAATGACTTGCTCAAGGTCACATGGCCCTGTGATGCCTGGATACTTCTCTTTGAATTCGTTCTTACAGCTGTCTCCTCCATGCAGTTCCCCTCATCTCTGACATCTTGGTACCAAAAAGACCCAGTTCCTTTAACTGCAGGCCTTTTACCTCTCAGGAAGTGGGGGAGGGGCCTCCCCCAAGCTGTAACCCCTGGGCTGCAACTGTGTTTCTGTTCATAGCTGCTGAACAAATGTCAAAGAAAAGCAGACACGTTTCAGATTTTAGTCACTGCATGTTTTCATTTTTAAATTAAAGTCAAGTTCACCACCAGGTGATGGGTCACAAAGTTCACATTCTGTTCTGCAAAGCAGGCCCCAACTGGCGGTGGCTGCCAGCACTCTCAGAAGGGCAGTCCCCCGATTTCAGGAGACAGCAGATTATCTGTGGCCAAGACCACAGCGGGGATATTGGGACACTGACAACAAAGGGCCTGGGAGAAATGTGGGCAGTGCCAGAGGCCAAGCAGAATGACATGCTACACACGCACAAGGGTAGACACATATGTACATGCTGTGGCCATGTATGACCACGGAGGGGGTGTCCTGCACCACTGTGGCCACAACACAGGACTGAGGTCATGCAGGATCCACGAAGGAGCAAGTAAGCCAGGCAAACTTGTCCTGGAATATGACAGGTGGAGAAATCGGGAATGTCTAGTTCCAGCCCAGAGCTGGAGGACGCAGGTTTTCTGGGCCATTCTAGTTCAATATGGTACCGTCTGTAATATGAGCTAAGGCTTGTGACTACAGCACCATGTCTGTATCCCTGGAAACACATAATCCCATGCACAGTCATGGGAAGACAAAGGACATGAGATGAAGCCTCTTATTGTTCTTCAGACATCTGACGTTGCTAAGGCTTTTCATCCTTTTGAGGTACAGAGAAGTTTCCTCTATTCCTGAAACCGTGGCCAGCATTCAGAATGATCCTGGGCTTTCTCCCTCCTGTCTAGCTGGACCCACGTTCCCAGGCAGAGCAGTTCCTAGCAAGCATTCATGTGGCTGGAGGGGCAGGGTCCATGCTTGGCTAGGCAAGGCTGCGCGAGCCAAAGAATCTTCACAGACAAATCTTCTGACTTGGAGGCTCCTGGATTTCAGCAGAAGCTCCTTCATGCAGGAATCCTGCCCCCCCAGTGACTGTCCTCACAGTCATCCCAGTGTCTCTAGTCCACTCCAAGATTTAGAAACAAGGTCCAGAAGTGTAGCCAGGAATGGGCAACAAAGACAAGCTTGGAATGTTCTGAACTACTGAAATGGGCTGACCTAAAGAATCTTTTCCAACTAGAAAGAAAATGAATATACATTCCTTACAGAAGGAGCTTCTTGTCCTGCGGAGGCTGGTGGCCATGGTGGTGAGGCCTCAGTTGCTCCCTGCTCCAGGTGGTGGGCACTGTGAAGGGGAAGGCTCCTGGTGGAGCAGTAAGACCAGGAGAAATCAGAGCTGGAGAAGAAGGCAAAGTGCCCAGCTCTACCATCTTCCCCATGGCAACTCCCTCGCTGGAAAGCCCAGATGGCTGACCGATCATGTCCCATGGTGTTTAGAGTTAGTAGTGATCCCGACAATGTCCTTCCCCAAACCCTGAGGTTCTCAGAGCATTGCTGAGCCCCAGGGGAATACATTTTAAGGCAACACACACTTGAGTTGTGTCCTGTCTCAGACACCTGGGCAAAGGGCCCTAATGATGTATCTTCAAACCTACAAGAGAGAAACAAAGAAGACACAATATCCTGGGACCATCAAGACTAGGGGCTCTGGGTTTATCTCCCTATTGTATTCTGAATTGTCTTCAGATTTCCTTGTGGATATAGAGTGTGTGAATGGTTTCTATTATTTTGTCTTTCTTGATTTTGGTAAAGCTTTGAGTCCCTGCCAATAATAAAAGTATTTTCTATTTCTTTTTTATAAAATAAATAAAGTCAACTTGCAGTGTACAAAACATCAATGTCCTGAGAAGTTTCAAAAGGTCCATTCTTAGTATCATTCTCAGAGAACTGAGAGCCCCAGGGAGGAACAAGCCTACTGTCCAAAATGGGAGGTCCCCTAGGAAGAGCCTGTGTCGAGGCTCTTGGAGAACAGAGGAGGGGGCAGTGTGGGGGCTGGGGACGACAAGCCAGCACTCTGGTCTGCTAGAAAAGTCAGGCCTCACTCTGCTCAGGGTCAAGTTTTCACAGCTGGAATCCTTTTGACATTAAAGCCGCTCCCTGTACAATCTCTTCTTGGACTGTAAAACCCAGAGCAGAGACATCTTGAATGGCTGACGTTAGGAGTGACAGGGTCCAGCAGCTCCAGCATGCTGACTCTGACAAATCCCACAAGACGGCTACCATTCTCACCTTTTCAACCAGCAGCTGGATCCTGTACTCCTCTGGTGTCCACATTACTCAAACCAAAACTCAGCTCTCTGGACTTGACCGTGGCTCATATTTGATGGTAGGAGATGTCCAGAAAATCAGAAACAGCATTAGAATGGATTCCCTAAGCCCAAAGCCCTTTCTAAACTGTTATAGTTCCCTGCAAGGTCTGCACTGAGTTTTGGTCCAGGTTTGGGTGTGGGAGGTGGGGTTGGGCTTCCATTTTGAGGACATGTACTACTTGGCCAGAAGACCTCTGAGCCCCAAGGAAATTGGATTCTCTAGGGATTTTTGAGGCCTTTTCTCAGGGAGGGAATGAGGACAGCTGAGGGCTGGACACTCAGCAAGAACATTGGTGGTTTCTGAGATTCGTTCCACATGGTGTTCAAACAGAAAGGCCTGGGGGTACAGTGGCAGTGTGTGGCCCCTCAGATCCTTCTGGGGAAGTCTCTCCCCCCCTCTCCTCTTCCAGAAGTTCTCTGATGGCTTTCCCAGTCTCTCTCCCTCAGTCTAGACTGCCTTCCAAGGGGCACGCCTTTAAGAGAAAACCAAAATCACAGGCAACAAATCATAAATAACCTAAAAAAAAAACAACCTACACAAAACACCCAGCCCAGCTTGTTGTGCAAAACCCTTCCCAGGGCCCTAAAGGAGGAATTAGACACTGGCTGTAACCATGGCGACCAGCTGGCCGACCTCTGTCCACAGGAGAGTAGGCTGGCTTCTCAGGGAAGGAGGTATGCTGAAGTGACTTCCCCCCAAGTTCACATTGTACTTTCTTCCTGGCCTTTTCCCTGATGAAACCTGGTAGGAAATGGTAGGGTCATGGGCTGCCTTTCACCTCCAAGGACCCAGCTGTTTCAGCTAGTCATACTAGACACAGCCTTCAAATACAGACATGTTCTTGAAACTGACCAACCTAGGATTGGGCTTTTGGGCTCAACCATGTGAGGGTCAAAACATCCCATCTGTCAGCAACGAGAACATGCATGGGCCACAGAAAGTAGCCAAGTGAATCCAAGGTGGGCAGGGACACCGGACTCAGAGGTTTGGAGCCCACTGTTCATTCAGTTCAAACGGCTCAGGGAACTGGGTGGAACTCAGTCATTGCCCATGACCATGTCTTCTCCCCTCACCTCTTCCCCCAATTCTAAAACCGTAATCAAAGGCCCCTCTTTAGGTGTGTGGTACAGAGAGACCCTGTGGGCACAACGCTATGGACAGCTTGCCTGCATGTGTGTGGACTTGGGTTTTCATGAGGTTCTCATGTCTGTGAGTGAGGAGTGCACGCATGGACTTGTTTCTCTGTGTGTGTGTGTGCGTTTTAGCTCTTGACATGACTGATATTCATCAAGACACCCGCACAGTTATTAAACAAAAGAAAAACCTAGTTGTTGAGTTGATTTTGACTCATGGTAACCTCATGGATGACAGAGTAGAACTGTGCTCCATAGGGTTCCCAAGCGCTGATTGTTTGGACATTGATTGCCAGGCCTTTGAGACACCTCTGCATGAACTCCAGCCTCAAACCTTTCGGTTATCAGGCAAGTGTTAACCATCTGCCCACCATGGACTCCAGCACAGTGACACCAGTTATCTGTGTTGTACTAGTTAGTAAACAGTGACCCCCAAATGCCCCTCTTCTTGACTCCTTGGGCTGTCCTGGCTCGTTCTCCAAAGAACCAGCCAGAAACTAAACAGTTATCACTGGCCACTGCAGGAGGTCCCACAGTGCCTGGCTACAGCCCATCTTGCCTTTGGTTGCTCTGTTTGCACTCTTGCTTACAAGGCATGGGAGCATAGTGTGCATTAACGTGAGTTTCTGAGTGTGTGTGTACGGTAGGCTTGTCCTAGGCCCAGGCCTGCCTAGGCCTGCTCTGGAGCCTGCAGCCTTAAGGTCAGGTGTGGGCACTGTCCTGTTAGCAGGGAGAAATCCCAGAGCCCAGGCTGCAGTGGGAAAGCTAGCTGGCATGGGGCCTACTTCTAAAGCAGAGGGGCTTGGCCAGCTCACTGCACAGCTCCCGCCAACCGTTTGCCTGCCAGCCTCACTGCTGGTGTGGGAGTGAGGAAGGCAAGGCGGGACTTCCACAAGGAAGGGCACACCCCAGGCCCCTACGTGACCCAGAAGGTGCCTCGCTCCTCCAGCAGGCTGATAGAGCGGTTGGTGAGGGAGGCAGCGTCCTGAACCAGTTTATAGCCAAAGAGGCGCATGGCAGGGCCGCAGGCGGACTGCACCACCTGGGCCAGTTTGAAGGGCATGCTGAAGCGCCACTTCTCAAACTGCTCGGAGGAGTTCTTCTGCGTTGAGTAGATGCCGCTGCCGTCACTGGCCGCCTGGGTGTTCTTCTGGATCCAGTCTTCCACCTGCGGGGTCAGGGGGATGCCCGCAAAACGGTACATCTCGCGTGCCTTCTGCAGGGGCCAGCGCGCCACGTCCTCATAGCGCACCAGCAGGTAGCGGCCCCGTAGCCAGGAGGGCTGTCGCAGGCCCAGCTCAGCGGACAGGCGGATGTTCTCGCAGTTGCCTCGGAGCCGTTGCACCTCCTCCTCACTCAGCCGGTCCTGGCCCTGGGTGAGCCACTTCTTCCATGTCTCATACTTGCCAGCGAAGGCCACTATGCGAGAAGCCAGCACGGCCCGGGGGTCCCGCACTAGCTGGATGATGCGTAGGTCCAGCCGGGGATCTTCGGCTAGCGGCTGCAGGAATTCCAGCTGTCGGATGCGCACGGCCTTGAGGGCCATGTGCTCCTTGCGGCGGCAGGCCTCGGCGGCCAGAGTCACATTGAGGGGGCCACAGCGACGGTCCTTGCAGTGGTACTTCTCGAAGACCTTCTTGACAAAGGGTGTGCACACAGGCTCCTCACAGAGGGAGCGGCTGGAGCCGCGGCGGAACATGAAGGGCGTCAGGTGCTGCTCAGGTAAGGGGTTGATGAAGTGTTCCAGAATGTACAGGTCGCACAGGAAGAGCTGTTTGAGCACGTCGCGGTAGACCAGGGCCGAACCCGCCGCATTGGCACCTCCGGACTCAAAGGTCACTGTGCGCTCCACGTGCCACAGCGGCTCAAAGAGGTAGAAGATGTTGCCCTGCTGGTTGAAGAACTCCCCAACGAAGGAGGAGCCGGTGCGCGTGGTGGCCATGAGCAGCACGTGGCGCCGGGGCCAGGCCACCTTGGCTGGAGGGGACTTCTCCCCTTGAGCCTGCTCCACGCCCAGCTCCAGGCTGAAATTGCGCAGGCGACTCTGCAGCTGGGAGAAGGCAGAATCAAGCTCGCTCAGGGACAGAAGGGACACGTTCTCCGCCAAGACCAGGGCGGGATCCGTGCTGTTGGCATCTGCTAGAGCCTGGGGGATCAGCTTCAGCTTGTCCGATACCCTGTGAAGAGGAAGGCCAGCCAGTGACTGATGAGGTTTTGATGTCATGGGTGAGGATGAGCCTATGAAAACGCAGGTCCTGCTACTAACTATACCCCGGTGGGCAGGGCTGCCACGTGCAGGGAAGCCCCACTCAGAGACTGTACAGGCTGATACTCTAAACTGCTTCCCAGACTGGTCACCCCAGAAGCAGACTTGGAAGCAAAGATGTGAGATGAAGTAGTTTATTTGGGACAAGATCACAGGAAGAAGTAGGGAAATGAAGATGGGGAGGAAAAGAAGTCTATATAGAGTATGGTGCTACCAAGTAGGGTGCTCCTTTGGGTAAATAAGGCTCAGTCTGACTGGGGAACCCTGGGAGACAGTGTCAGGCAACAGGATTTGCTCCCCCAAGGGGTCAGGTATCCCACCTGAGAGGGCTGCTCTTAGAGGCATTTACTCCAGCACTATTGGTTTGGCAGGATGTGGGTGGAGAGAAAGCTTTCAGAGAAAACTTGCAGGAGGCTGCAGTAGGACCCTGCAGGATGCAGTTAGGGTACTGATAGCTAGCCATCTTGGTTGATGCTTTCTTGCAGGGTTTGTGCCTGAGAGGAGAGCAGGTCCAAGAACTCTTTCTATGTTCTCAGGCCCACTTGCAGGGACAGTGATGTACTGTCAACTCTAGGGAACAGTGTTCCCAGTATGGTCTATGTGAGTGGCACTCCCTGGGTGGAGCAGTTTACAACCTGTATAGCTGCACATGGCAGCCCTGACCACCAGGGTACCCATACCAGAACCTGCCTTTCCATGGGCTCACTCTCACCCATAGTAACATTGAGACAGGTTGCTGGTAATGTAAGGCAGTATTATAGGTCAAAAAGTAAATTGATAAACATAATTAGCCAGTAAGTACTGGTGTGGCACTGAAGGATAAGCACTGGACTGCTAACCACAAGGTTGGCAGTTCCAATCCACCAGCTGCTCCTTGAAGACCCTATAGAGAGTCACTATGAGTCGGAAATGACTCAATGACACTTAACAACAAGTACTGGCTTATACAAACTTCATCCAAGGCAGTGGGTTAAAAGTTTTAACATTTCACTGAATCTTGATAAGGCAGGCTCCATCCATAGTCACCTTTTACAAGAGGTCCTTAAGGTTCAAAAAGGTGAAGTAACTCACCTAGGAGCTCATGGTTGGAGGAGCCAGACTTAGGATTCCAATCAAGGCTACCTGAGTCCAGAGCTCAAGCTCCTACTACTGTGTAGCTCTGCCACCTTCTCCTCATAAGGACAACTGATGACCCACTGACTGAGACACAAGAAGACTAAGTAAGTCAAAGATGCTAAATGAGTGAATTTGCAGGTCCACATGGGCACCTAGAGTTGGCTCTCTGCCCCTACTTCATCCCACCTTGATGAGGAAGACTTGAATTGTGCCTCTTACCTTGATATAATTTTATTTTCCTTTTCAATGAAAACAAAAACTACCACCACAAAAGCCAGGAAAAGGGCATATTTGCTCCTCATCCTCAGGCTGTGCAGAAAGTCCCGGCAGTCCTGGGGCAAAATGAGTCCTTTATCCATGGGAAGAGGTGGTCTGCAGGGTCCTCAGCCAGTTGCAGGACTCAGCTCAGCAGCATTCCCTGGGAGCTGGTTCACTGACTTCAGGTGGAGGCACTCTAGTCCTGTGAAGAAGCAGGCAGTCAGAACACCCTTTATGGACACGAAACGAGGAGGATATTTCTCACCTAACCTGTAAAAACCAGAACCTCAGACCTACTCTTACCACCCATGATGCCCCAAAGACTTGAAATCAGACCAACTAAAATGCCAATTTTAGGAGTCCTGGTGTGGTGCTGTGGGCTAATGCATCTGACTGCAAAGTCGTTTAAACTGCAAGGTCGGTGGTTCAAGCATACCAGCTTCTCCTTGGAAACCCTATTCAGGGTCGTTATGGGTCAGAATCGACTCGACGGCACTTAACAACAACAACAAAATGCTAATGGACCTTTTAATTCATCCATTCCACCTCCACGAAATTATGCTATCAACACACTTGCTCACAGGTTGAAGGCACATACATGGAAAATAATGTTCCCTGCAGCATATATGTTTGTAATAACCCAAGACTAAAAATACTTCAGTAAAAATGATGGAGCATCCCTTGGAATCAATTAGTCCAGTGGACTAACGGAACACGTGAGCATCAGTCTCCATGACCCTGACACCTGAAGGACTAGACAGTGCCCAGCTACCACTACCAACTACTCTTAAAGGGACCATATTAAAAGGTCCCAGATACAGTGGGAGGCAATGCAGAGCAAAACTCAAGATTATTTTTAAAATTGGTTTACTTGTCAGAAAGAGACGGCAGGAACCCAAGACTATGGCCCTTGGTCAACCTTCAGGTCTGGAATGGAACTCACCCTTGTGAACCAATTTTCAGCTAATTAGTAGATGAATATACAAGGAGGCCAAGGAGCTCTGGCAGCATAGTGGTTACGAATTGGGCTGCGAACTTCAAGGTCAGCAGTTCAAAACTACCAGTTGTTCCGTGGGAGAAAGATGAGGCTTTCTGCTCCCGTAAAGACTTATAGCCTCGGAAACCCTGTACATGGTCTCTGTGAGTCAGAACCAACGCCACAGCACATAACAAAAACAACATCAATATAGGGAGGCCAGCAACACTAGTACCATATAGTCCCACACATTTCCCTAAGGACAAAGTTGAGAAAGATTGGGAAGGAGAGTGGAATGGAAATAGGAGCCACAGGGAGGAAGTGGGATAACTGCTGTTACATGGAAGGGGCTGCAATCACTGAGATGAAACAAAGTGCATGATTTGTTGAATGTAAAACATGATCTGCTCTGTAAACCTTCACTCAACACACGATACAAAGTTAAAAAAAAAAAACAAAAAACTTTACCAAAAATGTGAAAAGAAGGGGGAAAAAAGATGAAGCATCCAAGCAATGGATTCTTACATCGCCACAAAGAATAATAAGGTGGACCAATAAGTGCTGATGTGAAAGAATCTATAAAATATATTTTTAAAAAAAGAAAGAAAAGAAACAGCCAAGTACAGACACAATGTAGGGCTGGCATTGTGGATAGGGTCATTCTTGGTTGTGGGGAGGGGAACATGTCTCCCCCTCAACCACAGAAGAGCCAGCCTTCCTCTAGACCAAAGCCTGGGAATCTTCATCTTGGGGGGTGCCTTGTTCTGTGTAGAAAGCTTAACAGCATTCTTGGTCTCTATACCCATTAGACACCAAAAGTCCCTCATTTCACCTGGAACAATAAAAAAATGTCTCCCCACATTGTGGGGGTACAGTGGAGAGGCAGGGAAAGTAGAAAACTATCCTGAGGTGAGACCACCGATGTAGTATGGTCCCATTTGGGAAAAGAAAGAAAATACAGATACACACAAATGGATCGTGGCTCAGGGGCGGGCACACAAGGCCTGGTAACAATGGTTGCCTCTTAGAATGGGGAACAATGAGTAAGAGAGAAGGGATAGACAATTCTTACATTTTCTGGGTAAAATCATATACTCTTTGAAATTTCACCACGTGTATGTATGCATCTTTTTTTTTTTTTTTTTAATGACTAAAGAACTACCAGATGTTCCGCGGGAGAAAGATGAGGCTTTCTGCTCCCGTAAAGATTTGCAGCCTCGGAAACCCTGTACAGGGTCGCTATGAGTCAGAACCAACTCCATGGCACATAACCACCAACCACCACCAAAGAAAGCCTGCTTTTCTGGTAAGGATGGAAACATCTGAAAATGGATAGTGATGATGGCTCAAGTCCTGGGGTGGCGCTCTGGGTAATGCGCTGGACTGCTAAATCGCTTTGAACCAAAAGGTCGGTGGTTCAAGCTCACCAGCTGCTCCTCAGAAACCCTATACAGGGTCGTTATGGGTCAGAAGGGACTTGACGGCACTTAACAACAACAACAGTGGTGCTGGTTAAACAAGATGAATATGATTAATGTCACTGAATTGTGCATACAAACATTTGAAATGACAAATGTATTATTACATATGTATTTGCCACAATTAAAAAAAAAAAAGTATCTTTGCTGAAATTAAAACAAGAAACCACCATGGCACTTAAATTCTAACCTAAATCCACAAGGCTTTAGCCTTCAGGTCTCAGGTTATTGGGGAAGCTTCCCAAAAACTAAGCTAGAGTCCCCCTTCCAGGGCCACCAATTTACAAAGATTCACATTCTTTTTAGCACCAGATACTTTGTCCTGATGCGAATGTGCTTGTAATAACTGGCCATCTCTGTGCAGAGAATGGGGATTCACACAGTGTCAGAATGGATACATGAATAGATGACCCTTGACTGAAGCCAGGTATCTTTTTAAAATACACACCAATGAAGGCTGCATCACTGTTCTCTCATTTGTCCTCAGTTCAGCACTAAAGGTCCCAGGTTTCAGTACAGCCCCCACTTCTGGAAGCCCATCTCTTGTCTCCATAAAGACATTCATCAGTGGTAGACAACCTACTCCAGTTTGGAGTTTGGAAAAGTCTTGCCGTAACCACATGTACTCAGGGCCACAATGCACTGTGTTATGCCCTTTCTGAAAAGATGTAGTTTCCCAAGGGAAGAGGCAGAGAGGAGAAGCAGGGGGCAGCCTTCCAGGACTGCATCTTGGTCACACAGTGGAAGTGCTTACAGGGACACTCAGATAATCAGTTCTCTGGAAAGAGTAGTAAAGAAGGTGTTCCCAATGTGAGTGGAGCAGATGTACCCCAAGTAAAGGGTCCCCAGGCTGTGCCAGGTAGCAAAGTGGTGGAACAGAGGTGCTGGGCATACTTCCTGGGTGCTGGGCATACTTCCCAGATGAGGATTGGGCAGGGAGAGGCTCAAAGGGGAAAAGGGTCACAAGGTAACCTAAGGCTACTGGAGTATTCCGGCTGCTTCCTAATTCTCCTGGGCCTTTCCCATGCACTCATTAAACCAGTATTTTCTGAGCACTGACTATGTGCCAGTCTCAGGTCTGGGCATCAAGGATACAGCAGTGAACGAGCAGACACTGCCCGTGTCCTCATGGGACTTTCCCTCTGAGGGCCGACTGGAATGACATTAGTAGCTGATGTTTACTAAGTGCTTGCTATGTACCAGGCCCCACATTGAGCACCGTTTGCCTTTTCTCATCAAATCCTAGGAAGTGTAGCTATGCTGTTTTTTGTTTTTTTTTTTCATAGACTGACCTCACAGATGTAGCTATGCTGTTTTATAGATGAAAAAACGGAATCACAGAGAGGTGAAGTAACTTGTTCAAGTAAACAGTAGGGCTGGGATCAGACCCCGGCAGCCAGCCTCCAAAACACAGGCTCTTAATCCCTGCACTTAAACCCCCACCCAGCCCTGTATGTTCAGAAAGCCCTTGTTAGGAAAACTCTAGTTATGGGAACAAGAGAAGGCAGAATTCAAAGCTGTGTCTCTGCCTTGGTTGCTGCTTGTGATTGGTCTAAGTGGCAGTAAACAGATGCTGGAAGAAGGGACGTAGACAGAGAAGTTGCGAATGGGTTCCAGTGAGGGAATGTGGGCACCTGCTTTGTTATAAAGTCTAAGTTTGGTAACTGTCATTACAATAGAGTTAGTGTGGAAAATGAAAATGGCCTAAAGATGTCTCCAACAAGGAAGCCCCTCTGGTCGAGCAGCCACAGCAGTGGGGACCACAGCCCTGGAAATGGCTCTCGTCTCCAAATGGAACCAAATGGTCACAGGGATTATCGGGCTGTGAGAGGAGCGCGGCAAACTCGGGCAATGGAAACTGTCCTGAAACAGGCCCAGGATTCCTCCGGGGGCAGGTGTAGTTTATTTCTACATTGATCATGTGGTGAGGTCCTCGCCCACCTCATTTGTCTTGTTGGATGGCACCTGGTGCGCATGAGGCTTGCCCACAGAGCTGTTAAAACACAGAGGGTTGGCCTCGGCTTCTGACTCAGTAGGCCTGGGGTGGGGCCTGATTATTCACATGCCTCAGAAGCTCCCAGAAGAGGCAGGTGCTGCTGGTTTGAGGACCCTGCCTGGAAACCTGGGACATCTCAGAGTGGCCCCAATCTGTGAAAGAAGGGTGTGGGTGGGCTGGGGCAGAGGAGAGGGAGACCAGGCAATGATCTGCTTAGAACCCCGCCACTCTTGCCATCCCCTCAGGTGGTCATCGTGATGTGTCCCTGCCATCCTTTCCCCTCATCTCTCACCCACCCACTTAGGCCCCCAGTAGCACTAAAAACCCTCTCCATTTTCTGACTTCTAGGCCATTCCCTTGGGAACACAGTGGCTCCATACAATAAGCACGAGACTATAAACCACAAGGTCTGAGGTTTGAGCCTGCCAGCAGCTCCACAGGAGACAGATGAGGTTTTCTGTTCCCGTGAAGATTTAAAGCCTCGGAAACCCAATAGAGGGTCACTATGAGTCAGAACTGGCCTGACAGCACTAACAACAATGCCATTCCCTCAGCACCAAGCCCTCTTTCCTGTCCCCTCCTTTCCACCGTCATGCCACCCTAGAAACTCCTACTCATCCCTGAGGCTGTGACTGAGATGGCACATCCTCC